ATTCTGCAGAAATGTTTTGGTACCCTTTCCCAGACCTGTGCCTCGACGCAATCCTGTCTCGGAGCTCTAAGGACAATTCCTTTGACCTCATGGCATGGTTTTTGCTCTGACATGCACTGTCAACTGTGGGACCTTATAAAGACAGGTGTGTGCCTTTCCAAATCATGTCCAATCAATTGAATTTACCACAGGTGGACTCCAATCAAGTTGTAGAAACATCTCAAGGATGATCAATGGAAATAGGATGCACCTGAGCTCAATTTCGAGTCTCATAGCAAAGGGTCTGAATACTTATGTAAAAATTGTATTTCTGTTTTTTTGTTTTTAATAAATTCCCCAAAATTTACAAAAACCTGTTTTCGCATTGTCATTATGGGGTATTGTGTGTAGATTGCTGAGGAAATTGTTTTATTTAATCCAATCTAGAATAAGGCTGTAACGTAACAAAATGTGGAAAAGGTCAAGGGGTCTGAATACTTTCCGAAGGCACTTTACAGTACATTATAGAAATAGGATACATCATCTCCTGGAAAGTATGAAGCAATTCACTTCCTTTTATTATTTGTCCTAGTTATGTCACTGTATTATATTATCATTTCAACTCTTTTCAAGTATTAATTAGTATCTCCATCTAAAACCCTCTCACAAAGACCTTAAAGGGGGAACTTTGCTACATCCATTTGAGGACTTCTAAATGACTGATACAATTCAATTGAGTACAGGCTTAACTGAATGACAACAGAGACAGAATGCAACATGGATTTTTATTGAATAGTTGGGTCTCCAAGGAGCCAGATGCTGATGACAGGCTGCCCTATGGTCCTTGGTTCTTTATGAATATACCTTATAAATGCCTCATGAGTTTAGTTCAACTGTCTTTTTAATACTTAATGTATAAATACAAAAAATATATATTTTAATCTGTTTTACAAACAGACAGATAATAACAGCAAACAATACAACAATAACACCTCCCACCCCCCCAAAAAACAAAAACAGAAAAAAACATAGTTCAACTGTCTACCCAATCAGAACCCCAAATATAACCTTGTTTTACTCCTTTGTTTGTAAACAATGTAATTATAAACAAACACTGTATAGCCTCAAAACATGGTTAAAGCTATAATTGTTATATCATGGATGGTCAGTCCTTGCATCCATAGCTCTGGTGGTTACATTTCTCCAGTCCCATACAAAACAGTTGTCAAGGTCTGATGTGGATGCGGTGGTGGAGTCAAGCGCAGGACACAGAGGAATAGTCAAGACGACTTTACTAATACCTCTCAAGGTACACACAAAATAAACAGCCTCCAAAAACACAAGAGGCGTAACAAAATATGCGAGTGCGTAAAACCCACAAAAGCCAAGGTCACAGAACCTATACATACACGACAGGCGACAATAACACACAAAATGCAAACCTAACACAGGGGAACTTATAGGAGACATAATCAAGACAGAATACGAGACAGGTGCACCAACTAGACATAACCAAACAAACATCGAAAACATCAAGCGGTAGTAGCTAGTACTCCGGGGACGACGAACGCCGAAGCCTGCCCGAGCAAGGAGGAGGAGCAGCCTCGGCGGTCTCCGTGACAACAGTGGCGGGGTGTCGCTTTGTTATTGTTTGAACTGCAGATTGCCCCTTTAAAGATGAACCCCATTTCACCAGCTAACAGGGAGACAAATGATGTTTTTAGTCTTATGACTATTGCAATCATGTCATAAGTTTAAAAAATACAGCATATGAGAGAGACAAGGTATATAACATTATTAGAAGAATGCAACCAAATATGTTATTATGTGTTGTATCTACTGTGTATTTCCTACATTATTTTACCTTTTTAACATTTTCTATTTGTTATTCACCCAGAAAAGACTTTCAGGACTGCAGGGAACTCTTACCCTCTTGTGTTCTGTTAATTTGATATTCTGATATTTCTTCCCCCACATTCTCATCTCCCTAAAGAAGATGAGTTTCTTCAGTTGGCTCTCATGATTCTTGCCAAGACCCGGGCTTTCTGACTAAGCTGCTGTGCATTAAATCACCCCTGTCAATGAGTGATGAAGCATATTCACTCACCATGCCCACTTCTCACTTTCTCTGGTACACACAGACCTATAGGACTGTGTGTCACAGAGTACATATAATTTTCCAATAGTTCTTTTATTTAGAGAAAGAGAGCATGTGAGCATGAAAAATGGGACCAGGTTTCTGCAGTCTCATTTCTATGAGTCATTCAACTCTGTGTCTGTCCATAATATATTAAATGGGAATGAGAGTAATGCTAAATTCTCATTAGCAGAACTGAATGACACTGAGATGAGATGGATGCATCCGCCAGTAGTTAAGAGAAAATATTGTAATCAGGCATTGGATAGTCTAATCTACATATTTATTGAGCATTACCCAACTGCTTTACAATGGTACTTCTCTGAAGCTTCTCCCTGAGGTAACTGTAGGCCATGTTGGTCCCTGCTGATGGCCACTGCCCATTGGTAGCATACAGACAGGTCCTTATGTGGAGTATATTGATAAGGCATCCTAAATTACAACGGTGATTCTAGAAGCGTGGGGATTGTAGTCATCTGTTGTGAGAGTGAAGAGACAATAGCGGTGAGCACTACAAAGACACAAAGACAAAGCAGCCTGATCCAGTCGTCTGTTTCCTGAATGCATAAGTAATCAGAGAGCTTTGAAATCACAGCTGCACAGGTCATAATGACCCTACTTCCAATGTCCTCCCACATCCCTCTCTAGCAACTGTCAATTCAACTGTATCTGAGAAGAGATCCTAGTTTAAAAGAGGGATTAATTATAGGTTATCTAAGTACTCATTTGATCAGAGTACTAATTAAAGTTTCACCCCCTCGCAGGCACAATGTGGTGCTTCTATGGTTACTTCCAGATAAATGGAGATGTGCTTGTATAGTAGCTGTATCCCTCTTGAGTCGGGGAGTCGTCGGTCAAAGCTCCAACCTGTTGCTTTTTGTTCTTGCATGTTAATGCCTGACTGGGATGGAAGGCCAGCGTTGGTTGCCATACACAGGGATGGTTTAGAAGCTTGTTCACAATACCTGTCTGAATGTTTTGGGGGATCATGTCCCAATCCCCCTCCACAGCCTCCACTCTTTATGGATCTATTCAATATTAATGAGGGCTTGAGCACTGGGAGCACACGCACACACGGAACGGATGCATGTACACATGCACATACGCACACACACACACACTCACGTTCCCACACCTTTGGGGAGAATGCCTTTATAATTCATCGCATCTGAGCTTTTAAGATTCCCTTGTGGGAACCTCCAGAGGCATAGCAATAGGCTTCATTCACACTCTTACACAGTACATCTCCCTCATTATTTTTTCCCCTTTCTCCCCCCACCCGCTCTCTCGCTCTATCTATCTCTCAATCCCTAGATATCCCCGAAAGATATTAAGACAGATATGCTATTTTTCGGCAGGGGGCTGCGATGGTTATGTTAAAATAATGAAACATTCCCTAAGCAAAAGAGAGATCATAGAAGCATTGCATAACTGTTCTCAGAGACTGATGAAAACAACGGTAACTGGGGGACTCAAAGGAGAAATATATATTAGATGAAGGGTTCTGGAGAGATGACATATTTTCTTTAATCCCTGGACTGAACTTTGATCTATCAAAATGAAACGTCTTGTTTTGCACCCAATTCTCTGTTACTGACCACTAGTCTGATGTAAACACACTGACACAGCTTAGAATTTTGGTGCCGGTTGTTGCATTCCTCAAACAAATGTATTCAAAAGACTGTTGACATCTTGCTGTAGGTTATTGTCTCATGTGATATTAATTTGGATGGACCCAGGACACATGCTGATTAGGATCTAATCTAATGATGACGCAGGTGTCGTCCACAGCCCTCCTACGCCTCTTCCACACCATATATGGTGTGCCTTCCCCTACTTCTCAGACAAGAAGCGTCCAGCTACTGCAGAAGAACCCACACAACCATTCCAATACACACAGAGGGAGAACGGGAGCTGGGGAGCTGGCTTGGCAGTGCTGTCTTTAGAGTTTTTGCTTCTAGTTATCAGCTCTTTTCTATGTTGTTTCTACGGGGAGATAATCTAATTCTTCCATGATGAAACTTGTGCTTGTTTTTGCTTTGGTTGCGTCTTTCTTTGCAGGTAAGCTATGGGTGAATTCGGTTTGTTTTCAATTCTGCATGTAGCATAGTAGCCGTATTCCAGCACCATGGAGAGCGCCTCTGCGTGAGAGAGTGTTGCATGCCTTTTTTGCATTGTATGGCGGATTTTCTCTACTTGACTGTTTATCTTGAGTAAAGTTTTTATAATTGCTCATCTACACTGAGTATACCAAACATTAAGAACACCTTCCCCCCTCTTTTTGCACTCAGAAAAGTCTCAATTCGTAGGGGCATGGACTCTAAAAGGTTTCGAAAGCGTTCCACAGGGATGCTGTCCCATGTTGACTCCAATGCTTCCCACAGTTGTGTTAAGTTGGCTGGATGTCCTTTGGGTGGTGGACCATTCTTGATACACACAGGACACTGTTGAGTGTGAAAAACCCAGCAGGGTTGCAGTTGTTGACACAAACCGGTGCGCCTGGCACCTACTACCATACTCCGTTCAAAGGCACTTAAATCGTTTGTTTTGCCCATTCACTCTCTGAACGGCACATATACACAATCCATGTCTCAATTGTCTCAAGGCTTAAAAATCCTTCTTGAACCTGTCTCCTCCCCTTCATCTACACTGATTGAAGTGGATTTAACAAGTGACATCAATAAGGGATCATAGCTTTCAACTGGATTCACCTGGTCAGACTATGTCATGGAAAGAGCAGGTGTTCTTAATGTTTTGTATACTCTGTGTATATCACATGTTCATTTAGCAAAACAAAATGGAACCTCATACACGATTGTTTTGGAGAAGTAAGTTATTTTCAACACAGAACCACATTCTGACCAATTTTCTTATGAATTTACAGAAAATCTATTACTTCCCGTTGGAAAAGAACGACAGAGCGAAGATGTGGTAAGGAACATGTTTTTCATCTCTGGACAACTCAGATTGCAAAGAAATAGCATTTTTATACAATGGAAATTACACTCTATGCTTTAATGAGAGAATCGTGACAGGTTGCTTGTTACTGTATTTTAGGTAACACGGTGCTTGGTTGAGGTCCTGTCCAAGGCACTCACCAAACCTCACTCTTACCCTCTGGATCAGGAATGCAAAGATATTCTCAAAGCAGGCAAGTACTCTTTACATCATCAGTTGTTGTATTTCAAAAGCAGCACATAAAAAAAGCTAGCATCATATTGAGAGAAAGAAATCTTGACAAATATTGTAGGAGAAAATTGCTCTTTATTGTAGAGTTGAATCTAAGGTGCATTTCATTAGTGTACAGCGTGGCTTCCCCAGCTGTGAAAGCAATATGATGTCAGTGCTTGTTTATAAGACTGGGGTTAATGAACCTTGTTTGTCTGCCATGATGCATGATGCTACCAAGAAATCCCTTTTGCGTGTCTTGCTCTGTCATGTCAGTAGAAATCCCTTCTAATTAAAAGTACAATTTGTAAGTCGCTCTGGATAAGAGCGTCTGCTAAATGATGTAAATGTAAATGTAAATGTAAAAGTGCAGTAACTGCAATCGACTGTGGTATTTTGGACGCAGTAATTGCAGGTATACTGCACTGTAACTGCAGTTACACTGCAAAATGATTGCAGTAAAAATAAACAGTGTTATTTTGGACGCAGTATTTGCAACTAACTGCAGTTATACTGCATTCAGACTGCAATCTTTTTTTCGTAAGGGACATTAAGGAAAGGAGAAGAGCAGAGGAAGCCGCTTTAGACTATTGACTGGAGGCAGAGATGGTGAAAGAGCTGTTCCTGCTGGAGGACGGCACCGTTTGTTGCTGATGCAGACAGTATTGTTAAACAGAGTTCTTACTGTAGGTCATAGGGACTCAGTGGGCTTCTGCTACCACAGAGACCAGAAATATGGAGCTGCAACCTGGCAACCAGCTGAGGAGATATGAATAGAGCAACCTAGATTTGCTTCTGTATTTATGGTCAATTCTACTTAGCTGAATTTATATATGCCACTATGGGAGACAGATACTGAGCTTTCTCCAAACACTGTTGAGTGCCATTTCGCAATGGTCACCAAAATTCACTAATCAAAGTGAGAGCTTGGGAACATAAGGTTCTATCTGTAAAAAGATGATTCGGAGATAATTGGCTTTAAAGTTCCAAACCCTTATTGGTTTGAATAATGTCAGCAATTTTTATATGGTATTCTTTTGAACTTAACAACATGAATTGGGGGTATTTGGAGGTAGAGAACATTGAACAGAACAAGGCTATGTCAATAACTCAATTCTGACAAAAATGCAGATAGAACCTTATAGTCATAAGCTCTCGAAGGGTCTATGTTTTGATTGATGGGGAACTTGCAGAGCGGGGCTTGAATCGGACAATATGAGACAATGACAGAATAGTAGATACTGTGGATATTGAATGCCCTTTGAATGTCCCTTCTCCTTCCACCTCCTCTACAGGTGCCCAACATGCTGCTCCTGTGGAGAAGAAAAGTGATGAGGAGGTGCTGACCCATGAAGAGGAGGTCAAAGGTCACGGACCTGAGCCTGAGGTTCCAGGGGCTGACTTGAAGGACATCGAGGCCCGCCTGAAGTCTGAGGAGGAGAAGAGAGAGACACCGGAGGACGAAGAGCGCAGCCAGGTGTCATGGGACCTCAAAGACGAGAAGGAGAAGAGGATTTGGAAACCAACGCACAGGTATCATCATAAGGAGGTTTCTGAGGAAAAGAGAGAAGAGCCAGATGAAGAACATAGTCAGGAATCCTGGAGCCTGGGTGATGAGAAGGAGAAGAGATATAGGCCTACCTATCGGTACACCCCAAAGAAACACCACAAACGAGATGAAGAGGGTTTAGATGAGGAGAGAGAAGAGCCAGAAGAGGAACGCAGCCAAGAGTCCTGGAGCGTGGGCGATGAGAAGGCGAAGAGATATAGGCCTACCTATCGGTACACCCCAAAGAAATTACACAAACGAGATGACAAAAATGAAGATTGCAGTCAGGAGTCCTGGGATCTGAATGATGAGAAGGAAAAGAGAGAGGAGGAAGAGAAGGAAAGAGACAAGAGAATTTGGAAACCCACACACAGATATCACCACAAGAAACACCACAAACGAGGTGCTGACTCATCAGACGAGGAATCGGAGGAAAATAGATCAGATGAGTCAGAAGAAGAGGAGGATAGAGAGAAGAGAATCTGGAAACCAACAAACAGATACCATCACAACAAGCATCACCAACGCAGTGGGGATTCCTCAGAGGAGGAAGAAGAGGAACGAAGGAGTGATTCTGACGAACAAGAACAGGAGAAGAGGCATGGAGATGCCGAGGAGGAGAGAGCGAGAGAGAGGCAAGGGGCTCTGAGGTATTTATCTGTCTATTCATCTTATTTTCTTTCAGAAACTGTTTTTCAGGAGTGTATCAGGGGTAGTCAACTAGATTCAGCCACAGGACGATTTTTGTTTTCTGAGCAAAAAACAAAACAAGCAAAAAAAATTAATAATAATAATAATTCATTGCTGGACATAATAGATTGTAAAACACCAGCAAATCAGCTCCAAGTGATTTTAATTTAAGAAATCTGTTCCCAAGTATTCCCACGCATGTATCGTATACAAATGTAAGCAAGGTTTGAAATTATTAGGTTTTAGTCAAATATTATATCTGCTTGGGTTTCTTGCGGTTAATTTATTTGCAGTCTACAAATTATTTGAAATTATGTTGCGGCCCCCTGACCATCTGCTCAAAAAAAATCGGCCCGTGGCTGAATCTAGTTTATGGTCCCTGCTGTAAATTGACCACAACTAAGCCCAAAAAGAAATTGTATTTGAAAATAACAATAATATCATACCTTGATTACATTGAGACACGATCGCATGTCTCTTTTTTTTATTCGTGGGAATACTTGGGGGGGGGAAAATCCTACATTAAACTCATTTTTAGCTGAATTCCTCGTAATTTTACTGTATTTTTAAAATAAAAACTAAAATCGCGGGCTGCCTGGTATAAATCTTCACCCATAAAAATGTTACAAAAGGACATCACATGCATCTACAAAATGTATTATGCGAGAAATGTAGATGGAAACGCTTTTATGAGCAAATATTGATATAATAACCATCATATCAAAGTAAACTTGGAGTCACGCGATGACATGTTGTGTGATCCTCCCACTACTACTCGTCCGGAAAGCATGCAGATGAAATAAATTATGATGAACTTTACATGGTGGTGAAAGTGCAAGGTGATGAGTTTGATGCTCCTTTCCAGATTGCCTACAGCAGTGGTTCGCGGTGGTCCCCCACCGACATTTCTCGCATAATTCATTTTACAGACAAAAAAAAAAAGATACCGATGTTATGTTTCAATCAGGCCTGTCATGACAGTTTTTATCCGACATGCATTTCACTAGCATAAAAAGGTTGTATGGAAACCTGGTTTATGTCAGCACGCCCAGGACCCAGTTTAGGAAACCCTGGACTAGAGCGCATTTGCCAATTCCAGAGTGGGTACACTTGCTATATAATGCAAACCTTTTTGTGAGAAAACCATCAGTAGAGTTGAAAATGCAATGCATGGGAATTTAACCGCAAAAGTTACTTTTATGTGCATTTTTATGTCATCACGCACAGCCTTGTATCTGCAACCAGTCAATTTGATGGAAACATATCTGGTGGGAAAATGCGCATATTGTTTTTATGTGGATTTTAGAATATTTACATGAAAACCTGTCTCCAATAGTTAATGTCTCAAATGCCACTATGTCTATGTGGCTGTAGTCATATTAGACACAGCCAAATACATGCTTTTTAGTCAAGAACTAGGCTTAATCTGTGTCCGGGAAACAACCCTGAGTATAGGTTCTGCTGGTGTTTCTGTGACAGGTACCTGGCGGAGAAGAGGAGTGAGGGGGAGAGTCGTCTCCCTGGGGGAGGGGGAGATATATGAGAAACGTTCTCCCTGGGCGTACAGAGGATACTACCACCCCACCTGGTGGAAGAGAAGCATAGAGCCACTCACACCATCACATAAGGTTTCTATGTACCACCTATGATAAAATAGATATCTTGTTAGACTGGCCAAATATATGGTCAAATATTTTAATGCTTTTTTAGTTTGTATGATTGTATTGATTTTATTAGCAGTGTTTCTAAACACTTTGGTTTCTTGTATTTCCTTCAACTGTTTCTATTTTGATTGTTTATTGTACAGAGATGTTTTTTAATGCACTAAAGTTTGATTTGATGTGATTTGATTGGCTAAGATGGAGGAACTGGCAAAGCTGCTGAAGAGGCACCAGCTGGCCAGCCAATCAGAGCCAGAAGAGGAGAGGAAGAAGAGCATACCTCTAACCCCAGAGGAGGTAACATTGAACAACATCACACAATACCTTTACGTAACATGACACAGAACATTCACCTTTATGAATGGAGAATTACTAGGCTTTATCATAAGCAAAATCTTGAACTTCTCAGATAAGATCTCTTGAAAGATAACTGAAATGAAATATCAGGTTTTGGATGTTTTATGCTCTTATACACAGACACCAAAATCCAGTTTTTATATTGAAGTGAGAAAACACATTGCAAGCCATGAAAATGATGAATGTCCAATATTGGATGTTTCCCTCTCTGTAGTCTGCTGTGGGAAGAGACTGCCCTCTCTGCTGGATAGCAGAAACCATATGCTTATCTCTAGGAGACCTGGCTCAGGTTGAGGCTTCACAACTCAAAATGAGCCTCGATATTCTAGAACGGAAAAAGCCTGTGTGTGAGTGAGCGTAGGTACAAACACATGCAGAGAAAGGCCCCCTTTGACTCCAAGCATGTCCTCCTAGATAGTGGTTGTGGCTCACTAAGCAAATTAATAAGGTTATTAATATATTCCTCTGCAACTCATTGTTCTTTGGCACCGACAGGCTTCAAAAGGATCAGAAGGAGTAGGCTTAACAAGAGATGTGTGTCCCTGAAATGAATGGTGTCCTCTGCACTGTGGAAGTCATCTGCAAGCAATAAAACCATAGGCTATGACTGTGCTTCTAGCTGTAGAGAAAAGTGCATCTCTTTTTCCCCTCTCTCTCTTGACCTGCGGTTTTTATGGCTGCAGTAGCGATTGCACCAAAACCTCCGTAATTACAGAACATCCCCTCTCCCTCACGACCCGCCGTGCCAAACCACCCCTATTACAGCTGATAGTGGTGCGGCCCGGGTATAAATCTTACCGCCTGAGATGGAGCGATGTAATACAATGTGGAGGGGAGAGAATGGATGACTCCAGGCTACTCTTTTTCATCCTGACAGTCTTCAGACTACACTGCAGTAGCGTCCTCTACACTGGGACTCCTGCAGTGGGAATATCTACACTATTGACTGTATTAGGATCCAGGGAAAGTAGTGGCTAATTAAGGGGAGAGTCAGATTCCAGGAGCAGCGGTTACATGGTGTGAAATATGGCCATTTAAAATGAGTTTTATTGAAGGGATTGCGCTGTTCCAGAAGGGATCAATGCACACAATAAATGCAGTTTTGTGAGGTTTCACATTGTTATCAGTGCTCTTTCTGCCTTGGATAGTAGCCAAAATGAAGCTATGTAATTAAGCAATAATAACACTGTGTGTGTGTGTGTGTTTTCAGGAGAAGGAGCTGCAAAACCTAGCAGCTATGGACATGGAGCTACAGCAAATTGCTGAAAAGATGCATGAAAACAGGAGCAATTAGATAGTGGACAGGCAGAGGCAGACAGACAGGGATGCTAAGCTACTAGCTCAGTGTGCTAACCTTGTATAAGAAAATACTAAAGAGAGAGATTTAGAGGTGGGAGAACAAAATCTAAGAGACTTGCCACACATTCTGCTGTGATAACTTTTGTACCTGTGAAATGTTGATGTTATCAAAAGAATCAGCATGGAGACCGTTTAGTTTATTATAGATAATATAAGTATAATATAAAGATAAACAGATGCTTTGCTTATTTGTCCAGATTTATATATATATATATATATATATATATATATATATATATATATATATACACACACACTACCGGTCAAAAGTTTTAGAACACCTACTCATTCAAGGGTTTTTCTCTATTTTTACTATTTTCTACATTGTAGAATAATAGTGAAGACATCAAAACTATGAAATAACACATATGGAATCATGTAGTAACCAAAATAGTGTTAAACAAATCAAAATATATTTTATATTTGAGATTCTTCAAATAGCCACCCTTTGCCTTGATGACAGCTTTGCACACTCTTGGCATTCTCTCAATCAGCTTCCCCTGGAATGCTTTTTCAACAGTCTTGAAGGAGTTCCCACATATGCTGAGCACTTGTTGGCTGCTTTTCCTTCACTCTGCGGTCTGACTCATCCCAAACCATCTCAATTTGGTTGAGGTCGCGAGATTGTGGAGGCCAGGTCATCTGATGCAGCACTCCATCACGCTCCTTCTTAGTAAAATAGCCCTTACACAGCCTAGAGGTGTGTTGGGTCATTGTCCTGTTGAAAAACAAATGATAGTCCCACTAAGCCCAAACCAGATGGGATGGCGTATTGCTGCAGAATGCTGTGATAGCCATGCTGGTTAAGTGTGCCTTGAATTCTAAATAAATCACAGACAGTGTCACCAGCAAAGCACCACCACACCATAACACCTCCTCCTCCATGCTTTACGGTGGAAAATACACATGCGGAGATCATCCATTCACCCACACCGCATCTCACAAAGACATGGTGGTTGGAACCAAAAATCTCCAATTTGCACTCCAGACCAAAGGACACATTTCCACCGGTCCATTGCTCGTGTTTCTTGGCCCAAGCAAGTCTCTTCTTCTTATTGGTGTCCTTTAGTAGTGGTTTCTTGGCAGCAATTCGACAATGAAGGCCTGATTCACGCAGTCTCCTCTGAACAGTTGATGTTGAGATGTGTATGTTACTTGAACTCGGTGAAGCATTTATTTGGGCTGCAATTTCTGAGGCTGGTAACTCTAATGAACTTATCCTCTGCAGCAGAGGTAACTCTGGGTCTTCCATTCCTGTGGCGGTCCTCATGAGAGCCAGTTTCATCATAGCGCTTGATGGTTTTTGCGACTGCACTTGAATAAACTTTCTAAGTTCTTGAAATGTTCCGGATTGACTGCCCTTCATGTCCTAAAGTAATGATGGACTGTCGTTTCTCTTTGCTTATTTGAGCTGTTCTTGCCATAATATGGACTTGGTCTTTTCCAAATAGGGCTATCTTCTGTATACCTTGTCACAACAGAACTGATTGGCTCAAACGCATTAAGAAGGAAATAAATTCCACAAATTAACTTTTAACAAGGCACACCTGTTAATTGAAATGCATCCCAGGTGACTACCTCATGAAGCTGGTTGAGAGAATGCCAAGAGTGTGCAAAGCTGTCATCAAGGCAAAGGGTGGCTATTTGAAGAATCTCAAATATAAAATATATTTTGATTTGTTTAACACTTCTTTGGTTACTTCATGATTCCATATGTTATTTCATAGTTTTGATGTCTTCACTATTATTCTACAATGTAGAAAATAGTAAAAATAAAGAAAACCCCTTGAATGAGTAGGTGTTCTAAAACCTTTGACCGGTAGTGTGTGTGTATATATATATATATATATATATATATATATATACAGTGGGGGAAAAAAGTATTTAGTCAGCCACCAATTGTGCAAGTTCTCCCACTTAAAAAGATGAGAGAGGCCTGTAATTTTCATCATAGTTACACGTCAACTATGACAGACAAATTGAGAATATTTTTTCCAGAAAATCACATTGTAGGATTTTTTATGAATTTATTTGCAAATTATGGTGGAAAATAAGTATTTGGTCACCTACAAACAAGCAAGTTTTCTGGCTCTCACAGACCTGTAACTTCTTCTTGAATAGGCTCCTCTGTCCTCCACTCGTTACCTGTATTAATGGCACCTGTTTGAACTTGTTATCAGTATAAAAGACACCTGTCCACAACCTCAAACAGTCACACTCCAAACTCCACTATGGCCAAGACCAAAGAGCTGTCAAAGGACACCAGAAACAAAATTGTAGACCTGCACCAGGCTGGGAAGACTGAATCTGCAATAGGTAAGCAGCTTGGTTTGAAGAAATCAACTGTGGGAGCAATTATTAGGAAATGGAAGACATACAAGACCACTGATAATCTCCCTTAAATCGGGGCCCCACACAAGATCTCCCCCCGTGGGGTCAAAATGATCACAAGAACGGTGAGCAAAAATCCCAGAACCACACGGGGGGACCTAGTGAATGACCTGCAGAGAGCTGGGACCAAAGTAACAAAGCCTACCTTCAGTAACACACTACGCCGCCAGGGACTCAAATCCTGCAGTGCCAGACGTGTCCCCCTGCTTAAGCCAGTACATGTCCAGGCCCGTCTGAAGTTTGCTAGAGTGCATTTGGATGATCCAGAAGAGGATTGGGAGAATGTCATATGGTCAGATGAAACCAAAATATAACTCTTTGGTAAAAACTCAACTCGTCGTGTTGGGGGACAAAGAATGCTGAGTTGCATCCAAAGAACACCATACCTACTGTGAAGCATGGGGGTGGAAACATTATGCTTTGGGGCTGTTTTTCTGCAAAGTTACCAGGACGACTGATCCGTGTAAAGGAAAGAATGAATGGGGCCATGTATCGTGAGATTTTGAGTGAAACCTCTTCCATCAGCAAGGGCATTGAAGATGAAACGTGGCTGGGTCTTTCAGCATGACTTTTGACAACTCTTGGCACTCTTGGCATTCTCTCAATCAGCTTCCCTGGAATGCTTTTTCAACAGTCTTGAAGGAGTTCCCACATATGCTGAGCACTTGTGGCTGCTTTTCCTTCACTCTGCGGTCTGACTCATCCCAAACCATCTCAATTGGTTGAGGTCGCGAGATTGTGGAGGCCAGGTCATCTGATGCAGCACTCCATCACGATCCTTCTTAGTAAAATAGCCCTTACACAGCCTAGAGGTGTGTTGGGTCATTGTCCTGTTGAAAAACAAATGATAGTCCCACTAAGCCCAAACCAGATGGGATGGCGTATCGCTGCAGAATGCTGTGATAGCCATGCTGGTTAAGTGTGCCTTGAATTCTAATAAATCACAGACAGTGTCACCAGCAAAGCACCACCACACCATAACACCTCCTCCTCCATGCTTTACGGTGGAAAATACACATGCGGAGATCATCCATTCACCCACACCGCATCTCACAAAGACATGGTGGTTGGAACCAAAAATCTCCAATTTGCACTCCAGACCAAAGGACACATTTCCACCGGTCCATTGCTCGTGTTCTTGGCCCAAGCAAGTCTCTTCTTCTTATTGGTGTCCTTTAGTAGTGGTTTCTTGGCAGCATTCGACAATGAAGGCCTGATTCACGCAGTCTCCTCTGAACAGTTGATGTTGAGATGTGTATGTTACTTGAACTCGGTGAAGCATTTATTTGGGCAGCAATTTCTGAGGCTGGTAACTCTAATGAACTTATCCTCTGCAGCAGAGGTAACTCTGGGTCTTCCATTCCTGTGGCGGTCCTCATGAGAGCCAGTTTCATCATAGCGCTTGATGGTTTTTGCGACTGCACTTGAATAAACTTTCTAAGTTCTTGAAATGTTCCGGATTGACTGCCCTTCATGTCCTAAAGTAATGATGGACTGTCGTTTCTCTTTGCTTATTTGAGCTGTTCTTGCCATAATATGGACTTGGTCTTTTCCAAATAGGGCTATCTTCTGTATACCTTGTCACAACAGAACTGATTGGCTCAAACGCATTAAGAAGGAAATAAATTCCACAAATTAACTTTTAACAAGGCACACCTGTTAATTGAAATGCATTCCAGGTGACTACCTCATGAAGCTGGTTGAGAGAATGCCAAGAGTGTGCAAAGCTGTCATCAAGGCAAAGGGTGGCTATTTGAAGAATCTCAAATATAAAATATATTTTGATTTGTTTAACACTTCTTTGGTTACTTCATGATTCCATATGTTATTTCATAGTTTTGATGTCTTCACTATTATTCTACAATGTAGAAAATAGTAAAAATAAAGAAAACCCCTTGAATGAGTAGGTGTTCTAAAACCTTTGACCGGTAGTGTGTGTGTATATATATATATATATATATATATATATATATATATATATTTAAAGTATGCGTTGCAGTTTTATTCAAACTTTTCATTGGCTGTTTGTTCTTGACTGTTTGTTTCTTCAGTCTGCATTTAATAAAATTAATTATTCTGGGACCAAACCCAACATCTCAGGATTTTTCCTTCTTCAAAACAATTATACAAAGAACTTTAATACCGCATGAACACAGGGCTTATCAACAGTAATAGTATCTTTACAGCACTGTATTTTATTGAAATTCATATACACAGATGCAGTACAGTATGAGGCTGCGATGCTGCTTTACTGCATGGCACGTTCTGCATGTTTTTAAAATGAAAACAAAATGCTGGAAAATCAAGCTTAGAGCTTTGGAGAGCAGCTCCAGGGTCAATAACAGCCAACATATTATATAACTGGTCTCAGGAGGAGTGGGAGATAGTCCTTCTATCCCACAAGTACAGTTAAATGATGTCATCAATTATATATATTACACAAACAACGGGTGACCTCAATAGCTTTAAGTGTTATCCCTCTGTGGTCTCTGTGAGTTTCAGTCTCTTTGCGGCCGGCTCCTCTCCTCTCGTTGAGCCAGTCTTCGGCGTATCTGTAGCAACGGTCGTCCCGGAGAGGAGGTAGCCCCCGCTCCCACTCATCAGCAGCATGGGGTGCGTCCTGTTAGGCAACACCTACATACACAGAGACAGGAAGTGAGGTCAGAGGTAAAAGCTAGTGCTGGTACTACAAACATGGATGATTTTCCAGAGATACAGTTCAGTTTTAATATGACTATACCTGGTAATGTCTGATCCAGGATTCGGTGAGTCGCAGGCTGACTGCTCCACCTTGTTCCCTGAGCTTTGTATAGCACTCTATCAGAGGCTGTAGGAGAGAGAGAGATTTAATAACATGACAGGGGTGATAACGCCTAACACAGACTAGATTACAGACTGTTATATCTGTGGTTTTGATAGGAGAGATTTCCCACTGGAGAAAGACAATAAATGTACCTCTGTATAATGGCAGTACACTAGGGTCTGTAATACAAACATTTTGGGTTGTAATAAAGTAACAAGCGCTATTAAATACACTACATTATTAAGTACACTACACACACTAGAAAGTAGGGCCTGGACGATACCAGTATCGCAATACTCGTTAGTATCGTGGCAAGAAAACAAAACACGAAGCAGATGTTTTCATTTTTGCCATTGAAAAAATATTGCAATACTGGTATCGTCACAGCCCTACTAGGAAGCATACTAGAGAACACTCAGAATCATACCTCTTTGTATTGAGAGTACACTACAAAGGGTCTGGAGGGGGCGAGGAACTTGATAAGGCCCAGTAGAACTGGACAGGGGTGGAACCGACTGGCAATCACCAACCTGAGGAGGAGAACCAGAGATATAAACACATATTTTACTACCAGTGTGGGGCCCTGTTCAAACACTATGAACATGTTTTCTCCTTTCCATTGTCCCTCCCGGTGAAAACTGAGCTGACAAAACTTGACAGACGAAAGCCCTTGCCTAACCAATTGGGTAAGATTAGTGAGTACTTCAAAAAAGGGAGGATGGAATGAAGAAGGCCTGTTTAAAGTATTGGAACGGGGCCCCTGTGGCACTAAGGTGTGCTTTGTCCAGACTAGCGATGTGTTCAAGGTGACCTGGACAAACACAAGCTTCCCCAACAAACTAAATCAATAAAAAACAGGATGAGATGACGTGCTGTAAGCCCAAACATCAATCATTTTTAACTAGACATGTCACACCTCTCTCACTTCTGATCAAGATAACTGCTGAGCAATCCTCTTTTGTTCGTCTTGTGCGGACACAAAGATGTTAACATGGACATGTTTTACTGATTTCAGACAGTGCAAGACAACACCAAAATGCCGACAGAGCAGAAACTGTCACGGTGACTATTTACACAGCTCAACTCACGTGTCAGGGAGGTGTAAACTTAGTGCCACAGAGCTGTTATACTCGTTATTAGTGCTCATACATGTTTATTACCTCTTATTAATGGTTTATAAACAGGTCTAGAGTTCACTCTGTTGCCCAGTGTTACTAAAACAGAAAAATGGCGGAGGGGGGTGAGCGAGATCAGAGATCAGACTGACCCGTCAGCGTTCCTCCCCTCCAGCACGGCGGCAGCAGCAGCTAGTTTCTTCCTCTTCGCCTCCATCTTCACCTTCTTCTCCTGGCCCTAAAACACAACATACAGTTGCTCTTCAATTTGTGCACCGTTGATCGGACTAAGTGGAACAAATCTTTGGAACACACAAGCACGAACAGGTGTGACAAATAACAATGACTAATGGCTGCTTTACTATGCGTTGTCATACTCTGATCTCTCTAAGTTTCTCCCTCTCCTCTCTCTCCTTGTCCGCGGCAGGGTCTGTACTGGTACTAGTCTCCATGCTCTGGTCCTCTTTGTCTGGGCTGCCCTCCTTGCTTTCTGCCTTCCCTGGGTCAGTCTGGGTCAGGTTGGACTTGTCCCCATTGGCCTGTCCGGCATCTGCAGTTGTGACAATAAATCAAACAATTCAATAGATAAGATAGTATGGCATTTGTTGGTCTATTAAATTATTACATTCCTAGTATAAAACACAAACGCACACCTGCGTCTATGTCTTTGGCCTCCGTGTCCAGTGCCCCCGCCAGCAGTGCGTTGACGTGACAGATGGGGAACTCATGGAGAGTGTCGTGGAAGTGGGAGGGGAACCCAAAGCTCTCCACCCCCGCTCTCACAGATCCTCCTCCTGGGTACATCTGCACCACTGACCCATAGCCTGGATGAGAGAGGAGAGAGACAGAATATGAAGATCCCAGTGCAAAGAAACTTGGCGTGACCCTGGACAACACCCTGTCATTTTCTGCTAACATCAAAGCAGTGACTCGATTCTGCAGGTTCATGCACTAGAATATCCGTTAAGTACGACCTTTCTTCACACGTGAAGCGGCACAGGTCCTAATCCATAGAGTACCGCACAGGAATACATTTTAAGCCGAGTCCTACCCATGCCCGCAACGTTCAGGCCCTACCCTACCCAGATTGTCTGTCAAATTTAAGGCCCTGCCCGAAAGCCGAAATCAGAAAAAACTTCCTCCGTTAGTAAATCTATTAGCTGCTCCTTTCTGTCAGTCACTCGCTCCCTGCGCGCAGCTCACTCTGAACGCGCTCTGCTCATGGCGGTGTGAGTATCCATAGCAACGGCTCCGCTTGGGCTGCTCTCTGCTCAATGAAGAGACACGCGAAAGCGGTTAGCTACTTTGTCAGTCTAAACATCGACAAATCTCAAGGAACTAGAGAATGACCGATATGGATTTTCCTAGGGCAGATGCAGATTTTTGGGGGTCAAGGAAGCCGATGGCCAATATTTTAGGCCGATATTCAATATTATTAAATTAGAACATTTTTATGACAACATTTCAGAGAGACAGCCATGTATGCATTAATGCAGGGTTCCCCAACTGGCAGCCCGCGGGTGGTTTTATTTAGGCCCCCAAGTTCTGAGCAAAAACATATTACATTTGTTTGAATTTTCATTATTGGACATAAGACTGTAAAAACTCCAGTAAATCAGTTCCAAGTGATTTTAATCTAAGAAATCTGTTCCAAGTATTCCCACGCATAACATAGAGACACGTGATCGTATACAAATGTAAGCAAGGTTTGAAATTATTATGTTTTAGTCAAACATATCTGTTCGGGCTTCTTGCGGTCAATTTGCAGTCTACAAATTACTTGTAATTATGTTCCGGCCCCCTGACCATCATCTCAAGACAAAATCGGCTTGCAGCTGAATCTAGTTGATGATCCCTGCATTAATGCATACATTTAAAAAATCTAACAATACATTTGACTTTGTTTTTACCAATCTAACTACATAACAATAATGGTAATAATTTTATTTAAATGGTAAATCTCTTGATAAACTGGGTAAATCAAGATGTAGCATAGGCCTATCCACAATACAGGTGAATGCATATTCAATAGCAGTGTGTGCATACATTGAGTTATTGAGCTTGTTTTGGCTGATCAGTGGAGTCTGATGACAAACAAACAATCAGTTTGCCTTCCATTTGGGACTTATATTAGCCTACTGATCAACAACATTTGCATATAAGCATCACTCCAGCACGTCACGCCCGTATGGAAGGACATCATATAGTCACTGCTGTTTGAGAATTTAAAAGAACATCTATTCAATCCAAATGGGTTCAACATAACGTCATGATTTGTGATCACGGATGCTTATGAAACTAGTATTAGTCAATTTCCGTGATCTGCTGTCAAGACGCATCACTAAACAACTCAGCTGCCAGGACGAAACTCTAAACAACTCAATTGGGTAGTTCAACTATCTGTCAAGAAATAGGCGGGCTGTGACTTGATCCTTCTGCTACGCCTGAATAGAGTGAGGCTGTAAAGGTGTCAGCATGCTTCAGTCGGGGCCTAGGGCTGAGTGTGCTCGCATCCTCCCTTTAAAGACCTTCACTTGAAAATCGAGAAAAAAGCAGCAATAGTACGGTTTGTCCATTTTGAGACGCCGTAGCCAGTAGTCACAATTAATCTAAGATAACTAAAGAAATCTGTCATTAATTTTGACGTTTTAGCCGAGGAGATTTTAGTCACGCAAATGTACATCTAACTAAGATTTGCAGTATTTCTCAATGAAAACATGTGCATGAAAATGAGTCGTCTCTCGTTGAATGACAGCAAAGACTTTATTGAAGAATCCCTACTGTTAACCATTCACCAATGAAGGGGCGTAGACTTTGGCTCCGAACTTCGGCTTGCCTACAGAAAAAATGTGTGCCCAAACAGCCTGAAAGAAACCATCACCGAATTCCAAACCAAAATGTCGTCATAATATATGCACAAACTCTTCCAACTGTTGGGAAGCGTGCGTATGCCTTAACTCCTCTCCCTTTCACATCTCCCTCCATCGCTCATTTCACTTGGTGCATGTTCAAAAGGATAACCAGCTAACGTTAGCTAGCTACGTTGGCTAATAGCTTCTATCTGATATCTTAGCACCATGTTTATCTAACCAGCTAATACAGCTAGCTAGCCAACACCACAGATGAAAAGGGTTAGTTATCGTAATCGTTCCGAACAGGTCACATAGCTATCTGCTTCGCTAGCAAGCTTGCTTATTGCATGCATGTCTGGCCACGTCGACACAAGCCTTATTATTAGTGAATTAACTCAACTAATATTTGTAACAGGAGTTCGATTTTGGTCACGGTCTCAATTCATCCATCAATACTGCACCTTTCTGTTGAAGAAAGAGCTAGCTTGCTGTCTGCTGATTTTCCCAGCTAGACATTCCTTAGCAATGTGCAGTGCTCGTGGCTCAGGCGGTAAGTGGCAGTTTGCATCAGTGTTGCCAACTCCTCAGTAAGGAAAGTAGCTATTGGCTGTCCTAAAAGTCACTAGAAGTCACCTAATTTGCATCACCTAATTTGCCATGTGCATGTAATTGTGATGTACGCTGTAGGAGAGAGGAATAATGTCGTGGGAGAGACAAAAAAGTGAGTAAAAAAACACCCTCCATTTACATTCCGCCCTGAATGTAAGCCAGGGCGGGATCAGCCAGCGGCGGCTTCCCGCATGCGCGATTCATTTGTAGTCTGGACGCGGAGGTGTGAACATCTCCTGCTCTGACTGCAGCTGGGAGGGACTGATGCGCGAGGACTGGGCCGCCTGTGAGTGCTTTGGGACGGGGGTGGGGCCCACGGCAGCACCCGCTGCTCGTTGAGAAGAGTAAGAACGATACGTGCTTTCACGTCAGAGTCTCCAAAAGTCTCCAATAACACCAGAAAAAGTCGCTAGATTTGTCGCTACTCTCTTTTTTGAAAATGTGTCGCTAGAGGGGTATGAAAACTCGCTAAATATAGCGACAAAGTCGCTAAGTTGGCAACACTGGTTGGCATAGCAGCTGTTTTGATATGTAGACTCATATAAGGACTATTGGCAAAGCCGATAGAGAAGAGCCGATAGACTAAAAAAGGCCAATATCGGCCCGATATGTCGTTCTCTACCAGGAACATTATTATTTTCTGTGAAATAATCTCTCCTGTTTTATATTTTATCAGGTTGAAGCACTTTTGACACCATGTTATGATCTTAGTCAGATATGACTGTACTGTGCAGCAATGGTTGAACCAGCATCCCCCTGAAGCTAGGACAGCAGAGTCCCTGCCATCTTCCGAAAACATCTAAAACCCTACCTCTTCAAAGAGTATCTTAAACAATCCCACAGCCCCCCTCCACAAAAAAAAGAATGCCTTTCATGAACTAACACTCGCACTTGACTTTCTCCCCCCTTACTAGCTCTGACTTTGCTGATAGCTACTTTGAGGGAAAATGTACTTACTATGACAGTGATACAGTGCATTCTGAAAGTATTCAGACCCCGTGACTTTCTCCACATTTTGTTACGTTATAGCCTTATTCTGAAATGGATTAAATCGTTTTTTTCCACATCTACACACAATAACCCATAATGACAAAGCAAAAACTGAAATATTACATTTACATAAGTATTCAGACCCTTTACTCAGTACTTTGTTGAAGCACCTTTGGCAGTGATTACAGCCTCAAGTCTTCTTGGGTATGACGCTACAAGCTTGGCACACCTATATTTGGGGAGTTTCTCCCATTCTTCTTTGCAGATCCTCTCAAGCTCTGTCAGGTTGGATGTGGAGCGTCGCTGCACAGCTATTTTCAGGTCTCTCCAGAGATGTTCAAATCGGGTTCAAGTCCGGGCTCTGGCTGGGCCACTCAAGGACATTGAAAGACTTGTCCCGAAGCCACTCCTGCGTTCTCCTGGATGTGTGCTTAGAGTCGTTGTCCTGTTGGAAGGTGAACCTTTGCCCCAGTCTGAGGTCCTGAGCAGGTTTTCATCAAGGATCTCTCTGTACTTTGCTCCGTTCATCTTTCCCTCGATGCTGACTAGTCTCCCAGTCCATGCCACTGAAAAACATCCCCACAGCATGATGCTGCAACCACCATGCTTCACCGTAGGGATGGTGCCAGGTTTCCTCCAAATGTGACGCTTGGCATTCAGGTCAAAGAGTTCGATCTTGGTTTCATCAGACCAGAGAATCTTGTTTCTCATGGTCTGAGTCATTTAGGTGCCTTTTGGCAAACTCCAAGCGGGCTGTCATGTGCCTTTTACTGAGGAGTGGCTTCCATCTGGCCACTATCATAAAGGCCTGATTGGCAGAGTGCTGCAGAGATGGTTGTCCTTCTGGAAGGTTCTCCCATCTCCACAGAGCTCTATCAGAGTGACCACCAGGTTCTTGGTCACCTCCCTGACCAAGGCCCTTCTCCCCGATTGCTCAGTTTGGCCGGGCGGCCAGCTCTAGGAAGAGTCTTGGTGGTTCCAAACTTCTTCCATTTAAGAATGATGGAGGACACAGTGTTCTTGGAGACCTTAAATGCTGCAGACATTTTTTTGGTACCCTACCCCTGATCGGTGCCTCGACACTATCCTGTCTCGGCGCTCTATGGACAATTCCTTTGACCTCATTGCTAGGGCTGTGGTCTCACGGTAATTGGCTGTTAATTAATATAAACACATTTAGCGTCTCCTGGCTTCCACACAGTCAACAAGCTACATTTTAAAAAGTCTAATAAATCCATGTAATATAGCCTACACCACATTAAATCCATTATTTATTTTAGACAGGTCTAAAGAAGCATGATATGAAGAAAATGTAGTCTATTTCAGAAGAACAGAATAGCATACTCTGAGTTG